ACACACACACACACACACACACACACACACACACACACACACACACAAATAGAAAAACCAGCTGTGGCAGCCAGCCAGAAAATAAGACAACATGGTTGGAGATAATGTACAGTCATTATCCTGAGTATTAGGGAAGTGAGCTAGAGTTTTAGACATATTATAATACAGATTATTGTCTCAGAGTGTTGCTTCCTCAATACTCAGGCGTTTGACTGCAACGCTGCCTTTTATTGTTTGCTGGAAAATATACCTCGCCCGAACCCCAAGCAGACCCAAAGTCAAGTCCAGAACCAGAGGCAAAGCTGATTTCGGGACTGAACCCGGAGCTGAAACCAGAGCCGAGGTCATAGGAGAGCCCCGAGCTCAAACCTGACCCATCAGGCCCAGAACCACTAAACCAATCCCCATCAAACATCTGAAATAGAGTGGAGAGGAGGAGAGATGGGAGGAGTGGAGCAGAGGGTGAAGAAGAAGAATGAAGAATAAAAATTTGGTGGAGGAGATGAAGGAAGAAGAAATGGAGGGTGAGAATACAGAGGGGGTGACGGGAACAGAGGTAGAGGGAGAATGAAAGACGGCCACGACACACACAAATACTGATCACTACAATATGATTTGAGAAGAAACAAACTGAAGGTGAATTTGAATTGGAGGGGAAGGTGGAGAAGAAGAACGCCGGACAATACACAGTGAAAATACAGACAGGAATACAGCAACACCCCAAGTTAAAGGTAAAGGCAACGTGTTCACATATAAATAATGTAATGGAAAAGATAACACATCTTAGCATATTTGAGAGCACAGCTTTTCTTTATGCTTCAATGGCATTTCCTTGTCTTCAGTCTGTATTTAAATTGTAATCATAACACCGCTCAGCTTCATAATAGCATGGAAGTCTCTGAGCTGGATTCTGCTCTTACATTTGGGAAAATTAGAACTATATGTGCATCCTAGTGAGTTCAATTCAACATTTGTGGCACCTGATAGAAGCTCAGAACAGAAAGACTGAAGATATTTATAGCCAACACTGTGCTGACAATACTTCGGGGCCGTTACATAGCTAATTATTTTCAATGAAGACAAACCCACCAGTCTGCAGGTCCTAAGTTTATCTGTAACAAAATTAACTGAAAGTTGAATGCTGTAGGTCTTTCATACCGGTATTCCAGCTTTGCCTGGGAGCCCGTCTCTGCCGGGGGCACCGGGTGGTCCAGCATGCCCTGGAGAGAGGCCTTCAGCTGTGTCAGATGATGACAGGGGTCCCGGGGGACCAGGAGGTCCTGGAGGCCCCGGTGGACCAGGGTGACCCTGGTGGAAATAGAATCTTGGATTATTTCCACTGTGCAAATTAAGCTCAACTCCGACTATCGATCCTCTGCTGCCCTTTTTCTTACCCCGATGAGATCAGTTTCGCTGTCCAGGTCTTCAAACCCAGAACCCAGGGCATCTGCTCCGTACTGTAACATATAAACACGCAGTCCGACACATGCTGATGACGCTACACACATTTTACTTTCACTCAGGTTGCCAACTAGGCTTAACTCTCGTCTACATTTACTACATGTCGATTTCATCTTTGAAAAATGCAGGATGATAATAGTGCATGTGATTTGATCACAAGTAAAACCATAAACGGTGACACTCACAGGTACACTGCGTGATCTGGGGGGTCCAGGAGTCCCAGGGAGGCCAGGGGGACCAGGCAGACCAACTCCTGTGTCTCCCTGTAGAGAGGGAGAGGTCTTTTACAGTGCATTTGGTGACATACTATTAAAGGGATTTTGAATGAGGAGTCTACTTGTAATAAGTTATGCAACATGTGAGCTCTACCTTATCTCCTTTAGTTCCAGCTTCTCCATCTAAACCTGGGAATCCCTGAGATCCTCCCTGACCCTGGATGGAAAAACACATTTGAGTTATTGCATGTGATATGTAAAGCATAGCAAATAAGACAGAAGAAGAGATACATTACATACTGGATCTCCTGTATCACCCTTGCTTCCCTGTGAAGAGAGAGAGAGAAAGAGAGAGAGGGGGGGGGGGATTTAGGATCAGTACTGAATCTTAAGAACTACGCCTCTATCTTGTTTGCATACACACACACACACACACCCGCTGTCCGTCTCTCCCTGACAGTCCTGGGGATCCAGGGGTTCCCGGTGGTCCTTGTGTCCCTCTTGGACCAGGCTGAGCTTGCCCGGGTAGAGGGCTGGAACCTGGGCGACCGGGTGGGCCAGGTAGGCCTCTGGATCCAGGCTGTCCACGCTCTCCCTTTGATCCATGTCTGATATGACCCTGGACATTCAATTCAAATATTATTTGCATGTGTAAAAGATCAAAGACTACAATAAAAAAAAAACGCTTTTGTGCAGAATATTTCAAATATCCCATGAGGTTTTAAAACAACATTGACAACAATATATGAAAGTTGAAAGATTGGTGAGAAGGTCCATATCTGAACTCACATCTCCTGACCTCTCCCCCGGCTCCTCCTTCTGGTGCGGCCCTGTGCACAGCATGTGACATCATCAACACGGGCCATACTGTAACTAGCCACTTGTCAAGCATGACGTGGACATGTGTGCACTGCAGCAGCAGCGAGCACAGACTGATGAATAAATGCTTTTGGTCACAATCATAGAGCCAAGCTGAAAAAGTGTATATGTTGTACTTTACATTATATTTATTGTTTATCTACACAATTTTTTCTTCTGCAACTGTTGCTGCCTCAACACATTTTCTCATCTGCTCCTATCAAACATGACTAAGTATACACAGTATATAGTCCTACAGATTCACTGAACAAGTATGCTCTCCTTTCCAGGTTTGGCCTTACTCACACATTCACATTCATTTTAATACCATAGTACAATTAGTAGCAGTACATTGGAGCTGTAATGTGCCATCCTCAAAAGGGGTTAAGAAGGAGGACAAAGTGCTACTCTTTAATCTCCCCAGCCCACGTTTGTCACGCCAGTCCTCCGATCAAACGCCTGCTTCTCTCCGCTTTGACCCAGTTGAGGCGGCTAATGATAGCATTGGAAATTATTCTTTGCATTGATGTTGACCTCAAATAACAAATTCTTACTAAAAAATATCAAATTTTCCAGAAAGTGACAGTGTGTTTCATGTACATTAGTCATCAAGGTTATTTCTGACCTCTGATCAGCATTTCTTCATTGGCCTCTGTTGGGGTCTGGTGACCGGAGTACTCATCAAGCTCCACCTCCGGAGCCTCAGTTGGCGGAGCTCTTACTGGAACGCTGTCTTCCTCCTCAGGGAAACCAAGAAGACGAGTATACTCAAGAGCCTACCCACATCAAAAATGATTCTTCCCTGCAGTGTGCACACTCTCACAGTTAGACATTGTTGTACCACATTAGTCAAGGAGCACATTCTGTACAAGTCAAACTGACAATTCTGATTTAAGTAAACTATTAGTCGGCACTGCTTGCTGATGGAGGTCTGCGGACATCTACCAAGACTGATGTATCTGGTAACAGTCATTCAGCTTCTGAAGGACTGTTTCCTTTGAAGCTTCAAAGGCAATGCTGATTATGGGATGTTTTGGGTCAGGCTGACTTCCTTGGCCGAGGGAGAATGAAAGTTGGTACCGGAACAAAGAAGAAACACACACACACACACACACACACACACACACACACACACATTCACACAAATACGGAGGAGTGATGTTTTAGGGTCCTGATGATAAGAAGTGGGGTAGTGCGTCACACACAGCAGACGCCACGACATGAGACACACACACACACACACACACACACGCACACGCACACACACACACACATCCAAACAGACTACATGCACATTTTCAATGATCAGCATATTTTGGCAACTGGCATTACTGCATTTTGCCTTTCCTGCGGCCTTTGGGTGCTTCGAGCATCTCAAGAAACCACAACTTCTACTTGCAGTTGTTGTTCAAACCTGTAGTACATTGTTTTACACTCATGTAGCGCGCAAACGTTCAAAAGATATGACGTACGTGGAAGGCATCTAGTATGTTTCCATTTGATGTAATGATGCAACCAACCAAAGGTACTTGTTCCCAGCACTTCATCCAGCCAGCTTACCTGTGCTGTGCCATGTTTTCTCTCATGTGTGTTCTTCATCATCTCCTCCTCTGTTTCTCTGTCATCCAGAGCATCATCTCCACTGGTGTATCCCGAGGCCTTTGACAAACAATGAAAATCTACATTTTTATGAAAAACAAGCTTATAGCAACAAAAAAAGAAGATCTCAACCGATGATGATGCAGTCAAACACGTTTTGCCAGTTATACACATTGTTACAAATGAAAGAATTAATGAAATAATGAGAGAAGGAAAGGACATTCAACTGAAAACATTCCATTTTGGAAAAACGTTATCAAAATACAGCTAAAGTGTACTCATTTGATCATTCAGTTAGGTAAGAGGACCAATCCCCAGCAACTAGGACTGTGGTCGAAATGTCCAGAAATGACCTCCTAACATCTATTGCTAACCATTTTTCCTTGACCTCTATGGAAAACTTTATTGGGTCAAGGAAAATTGTGATGGAGAATTCATGAGGAGTTAGGAAAAGACAACCGTGGTGTTTAGAGACTCCGTCGACACTTTCACTCACCTACGTGAGTGTGATCATGATGGCGAAACTACAACGAAGAAGGACTACAAAAGGTGCAACTAAAACATGAGCCCATGAAATCTATTCTTCTGTTGCATGCAGGCTTTATAAAGAGCTTCACTGGTGGTGTGTGAAGGAGAGAAACCAGAGCTCCTTCCTTACCGCTGCTGTTACACTTAACAATCAACACTGCTTCAGTAGAAACGGACAATTCACTTGCGCAATATTAACCAAACTGTTTAAACTCTATATTTCCTGCAATAATGTAGATTCAACCGTTCTATTATATTTAGCTTTTTAACAGTTTGATAATCTATCATAGGCCTAGCTTCTTCTTTTTTTTACTGATGCTTCTTGTTATTGACAATGTGCTATATTTACTGTACATTTTAATTCATATTCTTGTTTTTGTTTTTTATTTGTTACATGTTCGAAGTAAATCAATACATATAAAATGAAGTGGTTGTCTGTTCATATTCATCAACATGAATCCCATTAGTTCATGACTGTGTGAGTATAATTGTTAAACCTGTGTAAAATAAGCATATTCTTTGTTTTCATGGACGGTCGAGCAGTATCGTCACTTTAAATGTTGCCGCCGCAAGGAATTGCGGGGCGGCATTTTCTTGTTTCCTTTGGTAAAGGAAGGTCCAGTGTTTCCTATGCTAAAGGAGCTAAGAAAGGAAGCATTGCAGCACCTTTCCTTAGCACTTAGAGAATTCCAACAGCTTTCATCATGGTGACCACTTAAGATACTTCCGGGTCATTTCACTCAGGATCAAAAAGGACTTTTCGACTGCGGCCTCGATTTCGGTTTTCTTGTTTAGTGAAGTCCTTTGACCACTAGAGGGTGCTGTTGAATAATGTGTCTGATATTTGTACAGAATGTTAACTATCACCAGAAGAAACTCCTGTTTTTAACCCACATAGTGAGCTCCTGCGTGTCAGCCACCTCTAACCGTGTTTGTGTGTGTGTGTTCCTCACATAAGGATCATCGTCTTCACACTGCTCCTCAGCTGCTCTGGGATCATCTTTTATCACCAGCTGCTGAATGGATCCCTGGATGAAAGAGAGAGGATTAGAAAACACTGAAATATATAACTGTAATCAAAACACCGTAGCTAGATTATACAGGTATAGTAACTCAGGTAACATAACTGGGTAAAGATTGGTTAAAGCACCATAGAAACAAATATTCTGATCACATATTACTGACACAAGCTTCAAGCAGCTTGAAGAAAATGTATTTTCTGCCACAAAGTAACAACTGATCAATTTAAAAAAAAGAACTGTCATGAGGGACGTATCTCTGAGGCTAACTTGCCAACAGAGGAGCACACAACAACACACACACGATGAAGTACAGTCCACTTGTTGATATGGCAGCATGGTGGTAATAGTACTGTTACTGTAATACAGCTGGTTTATATAGCTGCATGGGAGCATGGAGAGGGAAGTTTCCAACACACAAGCACATGCTGATTAAAAAGGGCCCCATGCCTCGACATGCAGCCCAAGTCAACAAAACCAAGGACACACACACACACACACTCACACACACAGCATGACCCAGATATTTCAGACTGTATGACTGCTGCTGAGGCTGAGCACGCACATATCCTGTCGTCATGCTTCGGATAACCCGTTCAGGCTAGACTGAACAAAGCAGAATAAAGTGGGGACGTCTGCACTCACCATGGCAACAAATGTCCAGCAGCTTGTGTTTGTCTTTTGTGAGCGTCGATGAGTGGAGAACGGGCCGAAAAGCAATTCCAGTAATAATGTCAGTGTGAAGAGAGTTGTAGGAGTTGAGTCTTTGAGTTTTTAATCTCTTTGGAATGTATACAGTATTCTGTCAATCGTACTGAAACACAGCCTCATACTTGACATGGCGGCGACAGACTCCAAGGCCCGAGTCAAGCCCTTGCTTGATCTGACCACAACTAAGCCTTGTTGACATCTCGGACTTCCTCATCCTCCATCCACTTACTCCCCCCGTCTTCTCCTCCCGTCCTCCCTTCCCTTCCTTCTTCACCATCTATAGTCTTTCCTCCCTTCTTGCTTCCTCTCTCTCTCTCTCTGTCTGATCTTCTATGGCTTTATGCCATAGAAATATGCAACAGAGGCAACTTAGGAAGTTGCACTAGAAGTGGTCATGACATTGTCACCCTGTTTGGACCTTGCCGTGTCTCCCGATGTGGACGATGTCGGATACGAGTGAGCTTTGGAAAGTCGGTCATTATATCAAAATGTCCGCACTCTGGTCTGACAATGCTGATAATGTTAGAGGCACCATCAGTGGTATTACTATTACTTTGCACGTGATTGGTTCCAGTTCTTGAGTTTTAAGATGTTTTTTTCCACCCAAATTCTCAAGTAGTACATAAGTTGCAGAATCATGCTTCATTTTACAACCTATGTTGACCAGTGGAGGCATTGTAGATCGATTTTGTTGCCTAAACAGGTTCATTGACATTTGTAGGAGAATTGGTAGCAGAATGCACGGGAAATGTGGGTGATTAGGCTTATGACATTTTTGCTGCATCATCAAATCATTTCTGTTCATTACATGTACTGGTCTGGCATTTCAAAACCCACAACCCCGTACATCTGAACAAGGTAATGGTGAAAACATTCACATGTAGCTTTTTTTTAGCAGTTTCCCTTTTTTGTTTTCGGCTCTTTGCATAATGCGACAAGACACTGAAAGTACAAGGAAAATTGTATTTTGCGCAAGCATTTTATCAAAACATAATTTGTTGGTGGGAAGCTTTCAGAAGAGACGGACAGAGGGCAGACTCTGTTACATGGTAATGAGAGGCCAGAACACACACACACACACACCTCTACACACACACACACATACACACACACATGCACAAAAACAAATGTAATCCTGAGGCCAACCTCACACACTGATATTGACACAGGCAGCCGGTCTCATTCTTTCTCCTTCTCCTTGCCCTCTCTGCAGAGTAAAAGTCATTGTCCTCCAACAGACACCCACAACTACATTTAGAGGATTTCTTCACTTTACCACAAAATTGTCGAGCCCCGTGCTTCCTGCATTGGCTACGAAAACGCCTGAATTGTGCGAGAAGTTGAGTCTTTCAGGCCTCCGATGGAAAGAGGTCCTCTCGGCCTCTCCGCAGTCCATGTAGAGACGCACCTCTTCATGCTCCACCACCACCTGACAGACGCATCACATACAGTTATCTGATGTATTGTTTCCTCATGGAGTTTCTCATGGTTGTCAATAAAATTGATTTTTGTCCCTGTATTTTTGAATGTCTGTATCAGCTGAATATCTCTCTCAGATCCTAGAATTGGTCAACATGTACAGGATGTAGTCCTCACCGTGAATCGTGTCCACTGGTCGGTCATATCCGGGACACTAAAGGACGCAGCTTTGTGGCTGTGGGAGGCTTGCTCCCTGTCAGTGTAGTACAGTAGGATGCTCTGGAGGCCCCCACGCACCGGAGTGAGGGCCAAACCCAGCTCCACCATCTTCTGACGGGCGTCCGTGATGGCGAAGAGCACGCCTCCTCTCTGAGTGGTTGGGCGCACCTGGAGCGAAGGCAGAAGACATCAAAGGTCACTGAAGGGTAGTGCTTTGGCAACTTGCTCCCATTATATGAATATTACAGTCATACCATGAGGCAATATTAACACATTAATAAAACAACACCGAGAGCCACAGAAGTTCTGGGGGCATTTGGAATGGGTATCACAGAATGCATTGACAGATCTAAATGGTTAATAATAATATTTGATCATGCAAGTTAAGGAAAGACAAATAAAAATAAAATCAGAGAACAGAGAAAATATAGTTCCTTGATATGGATTCTTGCTTTATCATCAAAATTCCACAAGGTGGTGACATAACATGACATTAACTAACCATAAAGATTGTTCTTTAGCATAGAATAACAGTCATGCAGTGTATGTATGTTATTATTTATTATACTGTATGAGAGAGAGGAGGAACACAAGCCAGTGTCGGAGAGGTGCTGACCACGGTGAAAAAAGTGGGAATAAAACAAAGTCATGTTGAAACGTTGGTTAAATTATTTTTTTGCATCCGGACTTTGAGTGTGGGAATATTTTTCATCACAACCAGTATTATATGGTACAATATACAGTACTTTATGGCCTACTTAGTTCATTTTGATAGTGTCACTTGACCACTGCATTTAAAGCCATAGTGACCCCGTTAAAAAAACAGAGACAGCACAAAAAGTACGGAAGCCCTAAACGTTCATGATTAAAAAAATTTATAATAATTACATTGAGCTAATTATCTTATTATCTCGAGAAAACAATCTTTGTTATGTCGAGTAAATAAGATTATTCATTCGTTATCACGAGAAAACAAAAGGTAATTTCCTATTCAAATGTTTGGGTCAAATCATCATCCAGACGGCCCAGATGAGTTGACAGTTATGAACTCGGTGAGTTAGCGGAAAGATACACGTGTGACTATGTGCGGTTTTCAAAATAAGATGTTACCAATGGCACATACATAATACATTTATGAATATGATGTGTCCCCAAATTAATTGATGAGAAAACCCCCCAAAATTGTGAGGTAAATGACTTTAGTCTTTGATCTTTGGTTGCTGTAAACAAAATAATGAATAGTTCCTGACAATGACTGATGCATTTATCTATTTTGTTAATACCCTTGTTAACCCCTTAATTTGAAAACCAGACTTAATCACACGTGTATCCTCCCACTAGCTTCACCAAGTCCCTCTCTGTCAGCTTGAACACATTTACCACATTGATCTCATTATCTCAAGATCACAAACTTTGTGATCTCGAGATAACAACATTAATAAAAAGTTTGCGTCATGCCCATTTCGGGCTTCCGTACTTTCAACTTTTCAAACACTGTTTGTGCTGTCCCTCTGTTTCTTCCAAAGGGGGTTACCATGGCTTTAAATGCAGCGGTTAATGGACGCTATCAAATTTGAGCTAAGTATACTGTAAAGAACAGAATATTGTACTGTTCAGGACTTCCATAGGTTCAATTCTTTAGCTTTACCGTGACGATGATGGCAAAGTCTCTGTAGAAGGACCCTGGCACGAAGGTCTTGGTGACCCGGCCGATGTTGGTGTTGGGCCCGAAGTTGTAGGCTGGCTGGCCCTCATAGCCAGAGGTGAAGGAGACGGAGGGAGGAAGGGGAACACCAATCAACTCTGTCAGGTCCAGGTGACCTCCTGAGCCTCGCTCTGACGGACACAGACAATGTAAAGAAAAAAAAGAATGTGAACAGAAACAATGAAGGAGTAACAGGTAAAATCTTCTTTTGTTCTTGACCCAAACATCCACCTGACCTTACTCCTGAGATGCACAGAAGCCGTTCTAGCTGATGTCAGTTTGAACTGGCTTCTTTTTGTCTGCTACCTGTGTGTTGCTAAATTCACACAACACATTAGAGTAGAGAAGAGAGGCTACCGGAATCATCTTGACATGGCTTTGATTTGACTTGATTTGATCCGACTCTGCCCACGCCTCGCTGCTCTGCCCTGCACGGACATAATCCTCCGAAAACAGAAGTGCGCACACAATGGCCGGCAATTACAAGTATTCAGTGTGTATGTGAAGAGATGTCTTCACATTCCCCTGATTCCCCTCACCAAGGAGTCAGTCTCCCGTGGTGACTAACTCTCACCTCAGCATTCCAGCCAGGATCACCCCTGCTACATATATCTCTGTCATACACACACGCACACAAACGCACACATGCACGCACACATTTAGAAATGCATTTGTGTGCATTGCGCACACATCAAACACACATCTCGCCCACGTGAACATGCACAAACCCCAGACCAGAACAGACAGGTCAACATTTGGTGGTCTCTAATTCATCAGCCCGACCAACTGGAAGCATACCTGATTAGAGGGTTTAAGGAGTGTGTCTGTGTTAGGGCGTGCGTCTCTGTGCACCAATCAAGTGATTTACGCGTGTATTGTCACAAACAGGTGCAATCAAGATGTGCAAACCAAATACGCCCACGCACAAACACACCAAAGCCGTGGCGCCACGCCCCCGGTCCAGATGCAAAGTCATTAGCGCTCTGTAACGACTGACAATTGCTCTGAGAGAGCTCATGATACAACCAGCGTGCTGTCCGGTGGCCACTGACTGTAGAAGTTTGACTTTTCATTCCTGCACTGTGAGAGACACACATTAGAATTATAGCGGCCGACATTATTCTTAAAATCTGGTGTGAGAAGGACTTGGCAGCAGCAGCAGCAACCTGGTGAAGATTAACGGTCATGACTTGGATGGCTGCCATGTCTGCTGTGAAGAGTTCTCAAGGTCCAAAGCAGGGGGAAAAAGGGGGTCAAATATATGGGTTTGTGAGAAAGGGTCAAATCTCTCAGCACAATTTTGGGGAGAATAATCTCGTCTTGTTTTAGGCCTACCTCATGATCAAACTTTTCACATTTTGTAAAAACAAATCTACTAAGCGTTTCTCAAAACGCTGAAGCAGTAAAGTTACCTGTAGAAAAGCCATTTCTCCAGCGCAGCTGAGACATGCAAACAGGCGGAGAGGACGTGCAGGAAAAGCATATTTTTTTTGCACAGATATCATATTTTACACATATTACTGGGTGCATTCTATATTTCAAAAACACAAATATTGACAATTTGTATAATTTATTATTATTATTTTAAATTTTTGTGGCTCAAGGGGGGGCGGCGCCCTAGCGCCCTCTATTGACCAGCCGCCACTGAGTAAGAGTTAAAGTTTATAGATCTGCAAGAGGTTTTACGTGACATTACATTTTTTGAGTTTTGGCATGTTTGGCGGTGACAATCCCAATATCTGCTGCCTCTGTCGAGCGGCCATTTTCAGCCCTCAAACGCATTCAAACGTATTCAGGAAATACAACTGGGGAGGCTCGACTGTCATCACTGGCGTCCATGAATCGAGGAGGACTTCTTACTGGAACTGAACGGCACCGATGTAACGTTACTGTACAACCGTGTCATTAAACTCTTTGTAATCAAAGAAAGGAGGATGGACTTTGTCTTTAAGTGAACAAACAGCAGCTTTGGTAAGTGAACTACTTTTGTGTTTTTACATCTGCAGTAGCGTTACTACTGTGTTAATTCTTCTATCGTGTCGTTTTTATGATATAGTTAATATTATTCCCTCTGATGTGAATAATATTGGCCAAATCAAACATTCTGCCGGTCATCTGATCTCTGAGTCGTTTGTCCACACTAACTCCCTCCTCCTGAACCTAATCCTTGTCATGTTGGCCGCATGAATGCCTGATCAGCTTGTGGAGACTTACAAAACCAATATTAACAACCCCCCTATAGCGTTGCCATGTATAACCTTTTAAACCCACCTTGACCCTGTTGCGCCAAACAAAAGAACTCCCGCTGCCTGGCCCACTCTCTTTAGATTTCTTTGACTCTGACGGATTTAATGCCAAGCACATCGGGGGAACTGTGTCACATTACCGGCACACGCTACTGAAATAACGACTTCTGTTCTGATTTAGGTGACACACTGGGCCATGATAGGAGAACATTTAAAATATCAGATGGGATTGAATAAGGAACTGAACCACCGTCCCATCAGCATGAGCTACTGAACCAATGACAAGTAAACATGGTGGCTCCATGGTAAAATGCTCTGACGTCTCACGCAGTTTCCCTTAAATCATGTGTGAACACAGCAAACAACAAAGCATTATTTTCAGATATTCAACAGTAACGGTTGTTCTATTATTGGTTTGGCATTTCAAAGTGCATGTTGCTCAAATCCAGTTTGTGACAGTGTCTTGCTTCAAGGTACATTAATCAATATTTTCATATTTACAATGGATCAAATCAATAAGTTTACTGAAAAGAGGTTTTAGCGTCTTTCAACTAACTGTTTGGGTTTTAAAGACCTGCAACTTCTCTCTTTTGGTTCACTCTCATCACCCGTGTGTTAAAAGCACAGTTAAAATCACTTTTCACTACCTGCCCAGCACCAAATTGCAGACAGACACACAGTAATAGTGAACTTTGCAGAGCATTCTGCAGCTAAAGAGCACCGCTTTTCCCTCAGTACTTGGCACGGACCTAAAAGAAGAGTGGATTTACATTCGTCAGGTGGACAAACACACAACTCCACATCAATGATGCATGTTGCTGGATGTGTAAATATGCTTGCTTATGAGCTAGCACTATCAACTTTATAAGGTGCTACTATGTTGGGTTTATTTGTTATTGCTGCTCTTTTGCTTCTTTTCAAACTATACTTTTTTTAAAAGCCTCTTCTCTCCAACGTCCCTGCAACACTCACCGCTCTTCCAATGTTTCAGTGCTTTGTATTGGGCCCTGGCTCTGCTGCCTCCGCCTGTGTTCTCCTCTTGATGTAACGGCCCAGGTTCTGCAGTGCTGCGGCCAAAGATTGACAACCCTGGGCTGGGGGTAGGGCTCAGCACCGACCCCTCCGTCAGAGTGCTACTACCCTCCGGAGCTTTCTCTGTCACCCCTTCATGCCTTACCACCACCCACTCTGTTGCCCCTGGGGTGGCAGAAAGGCCCGGGGAGGTGATGGATGGAGAAGAGATAGAAGGAGGAATTGAGGGAGGAGCAGAGCTGGTGCTGGTGTTAGGATTCGCCCAGAAGAGACTCCACCACTGGGCTCGTACGGGAGAGGTGAAGAGGAGAAAGAGAGCAAGAGAGAGGTGAAGGGCTCCCATCCTCTGACTATGCCTTGCATGAATGTACAAAAACGCCGATCCTGTTAACTGCAGCGGCCAAATACTACACCCATGCAAACAGGCATATAGTCTCCTGCTATGAGAGGATGCATGCAGGTAAATCTCACTAATCCAGCAGGTCCAGCGGTGGAAGAAATATTCAAGGAACAACCTTTCAGCTTGTTGCTGTCCTCTCTGTTCCTTCTCCCTTTTTGTCTCTTGTCTTCTCCCCTCGTTACGTCCTCCCTTTCTACGTCCGTCTCTGTCCTTTGCCCCGTTTTTAACTGCCTGACATCTCTCCCCCCCCCCACCCCTCCTCTCCTCTCTCCCTTTGTAATTACCGACTCCCCCTCCTCTGGCACTTCACAACACAGCAGACTTGATTTTCTCTCCCCTTTTTCTCTCAGACAGGCAGATTAGAGAGTTAGTTCATTACTCCCCCCTCCTCCTCCTCCTCCCCCCATCTGTGTGTGTGTTCTCTGGGTCAAACACTTGCGGTCTCTCGGTCTACCCCTCACGCCACATGTACAGAGTATCAAGTCTAATGAACATCGAAACACAGATTTAGGATAACCCTTCACAGGGCTGCTATTAAGTGTTTACCAGCTGATACAGCAGACATGTCAAAATGAAAGCACCTTAAAATAAACCGGATGATTCATCTAAAGGGAGCCAACATCTTAACATCTAAACCTGAATGTAGGTCTTTACTAATGATGACGCTTGAGGTGAGATAGCAAAGTACCATATTAAACCACAACCAATGGGTCCAGAGAATGTTACACAGGTATTAGCAGGGATACATCTTCATAAGGACATGAGGTAAAGTATTATTCCCTCATCTCTAATCTGACACAACTAAAAACTTGAAAGTCAGTCATTTGTCTTAAGAGTGGACTTGTGAAATGGGAATGCAATTATACTTACCATGTCCCATAAATAATTGATTAACTGCCAGAAGATTTCCCTTTTAATACTAATTATACTGATTATAAGTGAAATTGTACCCGAAGGGAGAAATCATATTGGCCCAAAATGTATTTAAAGCATACTGCCCATTCATTCATTCTTCATGGTTTTTTTTACAGCGTTATCTCTGATAAATATGTACACAGCAGAATGGGAAGAATATGGTTTATTCTTGCTCCTTGCTGTCATGTGGGATTGTGCATTTATGTTCAAACAGATCAGTATGACTGTTGCATTATATTACTTCTCCTCTTTCATGTGTTGCTGTTTCTAAGCCTCTATTCATTCATTTATTTGTATTATTTAGCTTCCATTGTCAGTTTAAAATTGAAGAGGCAACTCCTTTCTGCGTCCGCAATCGCACATTACGCACTGCATACACTGCATACACTGCATACACTGCATACACTGCATACACTGCATTTGTGCGATCATCCGACATACTTTTGTGTGAATAAACGATAATGTGTAATGCTTCGGACGCACTGAACTGTGAAAACCACGTCACTTCCTGAGAGAGCCTGTTGGAGACACATAACCATGGTAACCCGTGCCCCAATATAATAATAAAAAAACAAACATATTATGTGCAATCTTATACTTACACTTACATTGAAGCATTATTGGCGTTACAGAGCTGTCAGCCATTGTCTGTTATACACATTGGCATCACTACCGCATTTGCAGGGATCTATTCGATGGTGTAGTGTCCAGTGTGCATACTTTCACCAGACATAGTATGCAATTTTTTAACTATCAGTTCCATACTAAGGTTTTGGAGATATCAAAAATCTCCAGCGTATTAAATAGCATGTTAGTATGGGATCTCTGACATCTGAACTCTACGATCCCACTCACGACCCATGAAGAAGCATCGACAGTACATGAGAAGTGGACGTGACGGTCATTGGTTTGTGGACTACAGTTTTAGAGACTCGTGTTTGGCGCACTGAATAAGACATTTTTAGGCATCCAACATGTTACAATTAACTTTCATGATCTGAAAACAAAACTGTGAATGAGTTAAAGCTGTAAGAAGAAAACACACCAACACAACTCCCAGACGGGACAACACTGTGGTAACGACCTGTCAATCAGTAGCCACACCCTAAAACATACTCCGCTTTATGGTCTATTTGACCCTAAATGGACCATAATTTACTAAATGAACATCATGCTGTATTGAAGAAGACTTGAAACTAGAGACTGAGACCATGAGTTTATGGTTTATGATGTTTACTGAGGGAATAAATCAAGAGAGAAGTAGAGTCATGTCTCTATACAATCAGACTACTTTCTTTTTTTTTGCAACCAGAGGAGTCGCCCCCTGGTGGTCATTAGAAAGAATGCAAGTTTAAGCACTTCCACATTGGCTTCACTTTTCAGAAGCAGAGTTTGCCGCCTGCACAGATGCCAATCACTAATCACTGTGCTTTTAAGGATCGGTGACAACAACTGACAGACACTCTAAGTCTGAAAATCAATGTGATTATGGCTAAGCTGGGGTGTGATGATGTTCACCAGTCATAAGATGCATCAATAAGCCTTTATAAACAAGCAACAATGCTTGACGTCTGTAAACCAATCTCTGTTGATTGAACTCTTAAACTCTAATATTAAAGGCAGATGCATTAAAAAGCAGATAATCGCAAGTCACCTGAATGAAATTAAGATTGAAAATTGGAAAAAAAATACAAAAGGTTGGATGGAAGAATTTATAAAGTGTGGACTTTCTCTGTGCAGCAGCTGACTGATCAGGGAGCGAGGGTCAGAGGCCCCATGTTGGCGATGACAAAGGGATCCCTGTTCTGTCGTATTGTGCTTCTCTCAATGTTTGGTGAGGTCCAGGATGAGGGATGGAGTTGCTGCTGAGGATCCCTGGGTGGAGGTGTTTGTTCAGGCTGATTCGGGGCGTGGTCACACCAATGCACGGTTTGATGCGCTTGATTTTAACGCCACACTTCTTGAGGGAAAAACCCGGTGGCAAGATGCCTGAGAATAAGAGTCTCCATCCTCTTCCACTTGAAGACACCAGGGTTTATGAGTGCAAGGAGACATATGATGATGGTGACACCAGCACTACCTGCATAGGCAATGTCAGAAAGGTAGACTGAACTGTTGTTGGGATTGGGCAGGAGCGTGTTTGGTTATCAGCAAGTAGAAAAACTACATTATAGACATCAATGGAATCATTAATGTCAATAGAATTATTAACAATTGTTAATAATAACAGGGCGCCACCCTGAGATCAGGGACCAATAACCAAACTATAAATGAAGTCTCATAGTTAGTGTCCACTAACAATAGTCAAAGTACTATTCCACATTCAGAGTAACAGTGAAGGTTTAAATGTATCCAGCTATTATCACAATATACATGCACAAAGTAATCACAGAAAGCTGCTCTTTAAAGTATATAAGAGTTTATTAAATAAGTCAAATAATATCTAAACCAAACAACAACTACTATACAATTACGAGCCTACTGTCTAAAATCAACAACATCTGTGGTGAGAGAGTGTGTGTGTGTGTGTGTGTGTGTGTGTGTGAGAGAGGGAGTGTGTGTGTGTGTGGGGGGGAGGTTAGTCAAACAAAAAGGCAAAGAATAGAAGAGAAAAAGGTAACACTCAAAACAAGGCAGATCCTCACCGCCGCACTAAAATATATGAAATATATGAAACCCGACCTGGCCAGCTGCGATTCTGGTCTTTTAACTGATTACGTCACAATTACTCACCCGCGGTGACTGATCTAACACAACACCCTTACAGCAGCATGGACTACACAGTAGTTTCTTCACATCACTAATGGAACTCGGCGGTCAGTGAACATAGACAATAACACGTAACATTACAGTAAACGTAAAACAAAAGAAAACAAGGTAACAAACGCACTATAACCTATCTATACTCTCTAAAAGTATGCATCCAAGGATATCAGCAGGGGTGAGGTGGTCTCTAATGGAGCAGATAGGTTTAAGATTTAAAGAGAGGGCGAGGGAGGAGACCCCCCAGGGGGAAATGCTTGATTAGTCATGGATTAGCCAGGGATAAGGGCGTGTGGAATGGGATGGGATGAGGATGGGTTGGAGGGGGTCAGGAAGAGAACAGGAGATCACCTCTGACACTGTCAAACCAACACACCCATAGTGCATACTGAGGGCGTCTGTTCTGAATATAATAGTTAGCAAATCTGCGGGTTATATCCAAGCATGAAACATGACTTTAAAGCAGTGGCAATTCATTATTTGGCCACTTGGAGGCAGCAGAACACACCGTAAACGTAACATTAACATATTATCACCTTTTAAAGTTGTCATGGCAAGCTTGTTAGCACATAGTTAACACATCCAACAAACATGGTGCAACATTTGCATTCATTTGGAGTAAAATTTATGGCCACTTGATGAATTTATGTCGAAATTCTATCGTCTATTAGCTCTGTTTTGTTGTCCAACAACTTCTGAGGAGAATATTTGACTTTTCAAAGGCTCAATGCTCCACTATGTTCACTAGCTAGTCACTAACTTTGTCTGTCTATTGGGCAGGTAGTGTACAGATGGTTTATGAGAGTAGCGAGAGTTAAGTTAAATAAGTAAAGTTGTCACAATAATGAACTAAAAGACACTGAAACGCACCATTAAACTGCGGAGTCTGTCATAATATAAACATTTCAATAGGTAAACTCTGGAGACGGACCTTCAGATAACAGCTGTAGCAACTCGCATTCAGCCAGGCACGCAGACCTGTGTAACGGCAGCGAAAGAAAGTTTGCTGATCCAGTGGGGGGATCGGGGCCATCGGCCAATCTCCTCCTGGCGAAGTACGTTAGTATCCTCGTAGCGGGGAGGACGAAAAGGACTGTGTACCTTCAACGTGACTGACGAGCCCTCAGGGCAGCTCTACTTCTTGGTCCTGTCATGTTGGACGGAGGACAGACTGGACGCTACAGTGACTCACTATCGCCTCTCCAGGTACAAGTGGCATTACAAGACGGGACGGGCCGGGGCTAGCTGGTTAGCCTGCTCATTTCAGTAGATATCTCAGCAACACAATAAATAGATGTCTTTTTATCCTCTTCACATTCTGTTTATAGTGTTAGTACATTTTTTTAATGTTTCAAACTAAAATGACGGCCAGACATTGCACTTTTTGGACAGCTCCCTCACGTAAATGATGGTCACAAAATGCAAATAAAAATCTAAAGTAACAGTAAACCGTTAATTAAACCTTGTAATATGTTAAAATCTATAAAAAAAAAGATTAGCAACCCTAGACTAAGACCAATGGCCATATCCGAGGGTATGAATCA